GCCTGCGACCCAGCGCCGGGATCTGGAGGGCCGTTGCCGCAACCCAGCGCCAGGGTCTGGAGGGCCGTTGCCCGTGACCCATTGCCAGGTTCTGGAGGGATGGCCCCGGGGGACGCTCTACCCGCGACCCAGCGCCAGGGTCTGGAGGGCCGTTGCCTGCCACCCAGTGCCAGGGTCTGGAGGGACGGCCCCGGGGGACGCGCTGTCCGTGACCCAGCGCCAGGGTCTGGAGGGATGGCCCCGGGGGACCTGCTGCTCACGACCCAGCACCAGGGTCTGGAGGGACGGCCCTGGGGACACGCTCCCCGCCACCCAGTGCCAGGATCTGGAGGGATGGCCCCGGGGGACGTGCTGCCCGCAACCCAGCGCCGGGGTCTGGAGGGATGGCCCTGGACGTGCTGCCTGTGACCCTGCTCCAGGATCATCATTCTCCTGTTTCTTTGGACAGATCATTGGATTTGGTTCTGCACTTCTTGAAGAAGTTGATCCTAATCCTGCGAATTTCGTGGGAGCTGGAATCATCCACACGAAAACCACCCAGATCGGATGCCTGCTACGCCTGGAGCCGAACCTGCAAGCCCAGGTCAGGCCCTCAGGAAATGGCTGAACACACTTGAGTTGCTTTTTATTCTGGCACAATGTACATGGTGAGATGTGTAGCTCTTTAGTGCAGTTCGGTCAGTTTTGATAGATGTTGTGTGCCCGTTTAACCACCACCCTGTCAATACATGGTTGCATCCCAGTCTCCCCACAGCTGGCCACCTGGAGCATCGTCCCGCCACAGAGCAGCCTGGCCCTGGGCGGTGGCTCTCCCAGCTGTTCCTCTCTGTCACTGCGTTGTTCCTTCTCGCCACGTCCCATTCTGTCAACAGACACCTGTCTCCGTTTCACTCTGGCGGCACCCAGGAATGCCGCTGCTGCCCAGGGCCTGTGTGTGGTTAGCGCTACAAGAAGCTGTGCCACTTCACACTCCCGCCAGCTACGTACGAGGCGCCAGGCGCTCCCGTGCCAGCCCTCAGTTTTCATGCTGACAGTGTGTGTGGTGCTCAGGCCTCTGCCGAGCTGTGGGTGCCTCCAGAGAGCGGTCCCTGGGCGTGGCCCACAGGGTTCTGCATAGCGGGTCCTGGACCCGAGGGCTGTGTGAGCCTTGGCATGCCCGCTGACCCGCTGCACTCTCCGTTTCAGATGTACCGGCTCACGCTGCGGACGAGTAAGGAAGCCGTTTCTCAGAGATTATGTGAATTGCTGTCCGCGCAGTTTTAGTCTTGAGGATGGAAGACCAGGCCCGTGTGTCTTGCGTTGTCTTCGTCTGTGCCGTTTGTCTTCGTGGCCGTCCTGCAGATGAGCACCCCCGCTGCCCCAGACCTCTCCCCTTTGGGCTGGACAGGAACACACGTGTGTGGCTCAGGAAGAAAAGCTCAGCCTGGACTGCGGCAGCCACGGCAGAAGGTGGATCTTGGGATCAGTTTTTATAAAAATCAAGACAGTTCTGTGGTTAAATCTACAAATTAAAGGGAAATTAGAAGTTGGCGTGAACGTGGCGTTTGTGGGAGTGTCACTGAGATGGCCCGTGCTGCCGCCCACCCGCCTCGGAGCCTCTGGGAGCAGCAGTGCCGCTCCATGTGCGTGGGCTGAGCCTTGGCGTGTGGCTGTTCTGGTGGCTGCACACCTGGCATCGTCCTGGACCCTTGGGAGGAGCACGGCCGCCCCTGGTTTTGCTGCAGTCCCAGCTGGACAGTTTTCCCAGGCAGGATTTTAATCTGGACTTCAGAAGCATTGGTATTTGTAATGACTTCTGGCCAAACCGCGTGTCCTGGCTGGATGTAATTGTTTTCCCAGCTCCTGTTCGTGGAGGGCGTCTGTTTCGCTCCTGCAGTCCCCGAGGCCTTAGATGTGCAGCCAGGGAAGGAGCGTCCTGCTGGCCCCGCGGGGCCCCCAGGACTCCGGGGTAAAGCGTGGGCTGGTGGCTCAGACTCAGGTGTGCTCGTCTCTCTCCTGTCAAGAGTGGGTGTCCCCAGGCCACGGTGCAGGCTTGAATGCTTCCACTGGCCCCGTCCAGTCATCCCTGGAGGGGCTGTGGAGGAGGGAAGCCTCTGTGTCATCAGGAAGTGAAGGGGCCATGGGCCACACACTGTGTGCCACCTGCGGCTTGTGTCTCGCCTGTCGTCTGGACTCAGCACCCAGGCTGCACGTCTGACACCTGAGAGGCGAGAGAGTGGGGCTGGCCTAGGAGCCAAGGCCGGGGCCCTGTGCTCTGTCCCCAGGACGGTGGCCTTGTTTGTCCTAAACACACCCAGCATGGGTTCCGGCTTCCTGACATGCTGTGGAGGCAGGGAGGGTGGGTGGCCACATGTGCTTGAGCCTGGCCCTCAGCCACCTGCTCCACGGGTCCCTGGGGCAGCTGCACGGGCTCATGGACCCATCAGGTCTCCACAGCTCCCCTGCAGTGTGTGCAGCCCACGATGTCTGTGGCTCTCCTTCCAGCGTGTCGGACTTTGATCACAGGATAGCCATGTCGGTGGCGTGCGCCTCTTGCACTGGCCATTCTGGGTCTGGCGGTGCCAGGTGTCATGACACGCCGCGCTGGGCTTGTGCTGCAGCTGGGTGGTGTGGCCCTCATTCTTGTGTTCCAGCTGCTGGGCAGTGCTCTGCCCGTGTGCTGCGCCTGCCGGCTGCGTGTGCTGCCGTGGATCTCCTGCGTCCCTTGACCCCTCCCGCCATCAGAGGAAAGGCCGCTCCCCGAGGCACCACTTCCCTGTGTGGCTGCAGAGGGGCCCTCAGTGTGGCACTCCTCGTCAAAGAAAAATAAAGGCTAGAACAGCACCCCAGATCGTGCGCTTTCTTTGGGGGGAAAGCATCCCACGTAACCCTCAGCTCCCCGGGGGCCGTGTGAGGCACAGACCCCAAAGTCCCTGGCCTGTCCTTTGGCACGTGGGCTCACAGGCAGTGGGCATCAGAAAGTGACCTGCCCTTTGCTCTGCCAGTTTGATTCTGGGCATGTGGTGGAATTTTTTGGGACTCAGGTCATGCGGGAACCCCTCCAGCCTGGCCTCAGGGCTCCCTGCTGTACAGTGTGTTGGGGTGCAGCCCAGGGCTCCCTTCTGGGGAACAGGCCTGCCAAACCACGTGGGTATGAGGAGGCTCCGTGGGGGATCCTCCTGTTGATCTGACTACAGAAGGGGCTCTCGGGCAGATGGGGGTGGCCCCTGGAGGACGGTGGGCTTCGCCAGAGATGGGACAGTCCTGGTGGAGGGAGGGCAGGGGCCCAAGGCCAGAGGCAGCTTCTTTTCCCAGCCCAGACCCTCCTGGGGGCAGCCCCGCCCAACCTCAGATCCCAGGGGCCCACAGGGTGCAGGTGTGGGTCGGGTGCCTAATGTCTAAGGGACTGGGGAGAGGCAAAAGCAGGGCTCAAGTGCTCAGGGACCAGCCTCTGTGCCTTGACAAGAACCAGTTTATTTGGAGTCTCTGGCCGGGTGACGCCCTCTCCCGAGGACAAGCTGCTGGGGACAGGTGTGGTGCTGGCCGGGGCCTTTTGCCTGGCTGGGAGCGGGGGTGGCTGCCCTGCCCTCGCTGCCACCCTCTGCCCTCCCTGACTCTGGGGAACTCCTCTTCTCTGTGTCGGTGGCTGCCTGGGCCTCTTGCCCCCATCTCAGCACAGGTCCTGACGGGTCTGGTCCAGCGCCTGCTCTGGCCTCATCTGCAGGGTTCTGGGCCCAGCAGGGCTGGGGCCAAGTTCAAGGGCTGGGAGGTGTTGGATGGCAGACGGGTGGTCGGGAGTGCCCTGTGTGCCTGGGAGGATGCGTGGCCACTGCCCGCCTCAGTCCCTCTCTGCTGGCTCAGGGTCTGCAGGGGTGTGGTGGTCTGAGCCTCTGCTTGGCAGCCCCTCTCCCACCGGTGCCCCAGGTGAGCCACAGCTGGGGGCACTTGCGGGCCAGGCCTGGTGACCAGGAAAGCAGCTGCCGGCACAAGTGGGAGGGGGGCCGGCGGGTGTTTGTCCTGTCTGTCATCTGCAGTCCTTCAGCCCCAGGAGAGCGGGCAGCGACCCTGCTAGGCTCCACAGGCCACAGAGCTGCACTTGCAGCGGCTGAACACCTGCAGGGTGAGTACGAGCTGCCGGCCAGGCGCGCTGGGGTCTGGGCAGGGCAGCTCCACCTGCTGCTCATAGGAGTGGAGGGGGCGGCAGCAGCCGCAGTGGGCGTCCACCTGCTGGGTGATGGTGTTGTAACTGCCAAGAAGCCAAGACAGAGCAGGGTCATGGGTGCTGCAGGGGCATAAGGCCCCTCCCTCCCCAGGGCAGCTGCTCCACAGAGGCCTGGACCTCCCCGCTGAGCTCCCGGCTCACAGGGGCCAAGGCCGGTGTTGGGCAGATGGAGCGCAGAGTGGCTAACCTGACGGGGCAGCAAGCGCCTGGGTGGGGAGCCCGAACCTGCCCTGGCGCCTCTCTGGGGTGGGGTTGTGAGCACCTTGCTGGACGTGGGGCAGGCCTCCCACCTGTGGACTCACCTGGCGGCAGAAATGCAGGTGCCCTCACAGCGGGTTACCGTCACGTTCGCCGTGCATCCCTTGAACGTGATCTCCTCCTGCTGCTCCTGCACGCTGCAGACCCCTGGGAGCCGAGTGGACGGTCAGCAGCGCTCAGGGTGGACATGGAGCGAGGAGGGAGGGAAGCCCTGGCTAGAGACCGGGGTCCCCACCTGTCTCTGGACTCTCCTGCCCAAGGTGTGGTCTTCCTTTGTGGAGCCCCACAGAGCTCAGACCTCAGCCATACCCAAAGGCAAAGGCCAGCAGCATCCTAGTTTGTTTTTTCCCCTCAAAGTCGCTCTGCTGGAGTCCATCAAGGTAGAAAATTTTCTCAGTGGACTCAGCAGATACTGAGCCCTGGGCCTGTGTGAGCCACCCCTGGGCCCCAGCTTCCCTGATGCCCCACCCCAGGCCTCGACACCGACCTGTGGGCATGGGTATCTCTGGCTGGCCGGACCCAGGACCTGCAGGGGGGCCGAGGACACCGTGTCAGTGACGCCAGAGTGGGGGACAAGTGGTGTCGTGGGAGCTCCATGTGCCCCAGCTGGGGAGGAGGGAAGTGGAGCAGGCCCCGTGGTCTGGGCTCCTGGAAGGGGTGGGGTGGGGAACCGTGTGGAAGGCCCAGACAGCCAGCCTCAGTGAGAGGCCTGGGCACGTGGCAGGCAGCACGGAGCAGGGTGGACTGATGCAGGCAGTGGCAGCATCGGCATTAGAAACCGCCACTGCGGAGTGTGGGTTAAAGTGGAAAAGGAGTCCTGGGGTAAAGGCTGAACTCTGCTGCCTGTGTGCCCTCCCCTGGCTGTGCCCAGCTTCATTTCCTGGCCACAGAGAAGACAGGTCGCCTGGAACCTACCTGCCCGCTGCAGAGAGCTTTCTCCAGGAGGGGGCAGGACTATGTGTGCCTCCACAGGCCCTGCCGTCCCCAGCCCTCCCCTCCCAGATGGTTCCTGCTCCCTCACCTCTGCTTCTTGGGGCCACCTCCCCGGTTACAGCTTGCACCCAAGTCCTGGTCTCAGGGAGGGACCCAAACCAAGATTCCCTCAGCCTGCAGCAACGAGCTGCTACCCACGTGAGAGACCACGAAGCCAACCGTGGCGTTGCCACCTGGTGGAGGTCGATGCATGCGAGGGACCCAGTCCCTGGGTGGTTGCTGTGAGAGGAACACCCAGGAGGGAAGTGAGGGACATCCCTGGAACGTGAGGTTAGGTGGACGAGGCCTGAGGTGTGTTCTGTCTCCAGGCATCCCATGGCCTGGGGAGCAGTGGACTCGCTCATAGGCATGAGACCAGGTGGAGGCCGGGAAGAGCCGTGGCCCGGAGAATTGGCATGAGTACCAAGGAGCAGGCGCCCTGGTTGCCAGGTCCAGCTTCACCTTCAACAGGTCCTTCGGGGCGAGGCAGGGGCTGTGCCGGACCTTTATGTCTCTTTCTGCACTTGGAGGAAGGGCTGTGCTGCTTGAACCCTGGGGTCCGGCCAGCCCTGACATCCTCTGAGCACCCAAAGGGGCAGCCGGGGAGGGCTTTTGGCAGGTATCACTCTGAGGGGAGGCCAGGAGTGCAGCAGTGACCGGGGCATGAGTGAGCCAGTGCAGGGAAAGGTCAAGGTTAGCTGGGGAAAGGCCAACGGGGAGGCCGGACACTTGCTTGGCCAAGAAAGCGTTGGCATAGAGGGTGCCCAAGAGAGGAGAGGGGAAAAACCCATTAGGCATGTAGGGAAGGTGGGGAACAGGCATGTGGTCCTGGGATCATAGGACCATGAGGGGTAAACTGAGGCAGTGGCTGCCTGGGAGTCACGAGCACAGAGGTGAGGCCAGCAGGAGGGCCACAGAGATGCCACTTACCAGGTGATGTGGGCGTAGGTGTCCCGAGAGAAGATACCGGGGCAGAAGCAGGGGCGCTTCCATGCGCAGTGAGGGAGCTGGTCAGGAACTGCGTGGTAGGCAGTGAGGTGGGACCAGGGTGCCTGGTGGTAAGGTTGGTGAGTGGAGAGCTAGGGATACCCGTCACCCCCGAGGTGAGTGACACAAAGCCTGACGTGGGAACTCGGGTGGTGAGAGAAGTGGACCGCGAGGTGGTGGACTGAGAGGAGAAGGCAGGGGCGGTGTGGGTGCTGGCCGTGGTCCTGGGCGTGGACGGAAATGCAGCGGAGCTGGAGGCTTGCTGACTGGATGGGGTGGGAGACACAGTAAGAGTGGATATGGGGAGTAGAGCAGAGGGGGTGAAAGGAGAGGAGATAGTGTGGGGGAGAGAGGCCCTAATGGTGGTAGAGGCAGCTGGAGAAGAAGGAAAAAAGGGAGATGCAGACCCTGATGCAGTTGTGGGATGAGTGAAGAAGGAGGAGTGTGAGCTCGAGCTCAGGGTTGTGGAGTGCACGGGGGTGGACACGACAGAGGAAGATGTACCAGCTGAAGATGAAGTCTGGGGAGAGGAGTGGGAGGAAGGTACATGAGAAGAAACAGAAGACTGGGCAGAAGGAGTGGGAGAAAATGAGGACAGCTGATTAGTTGTAGAAACAGGAGTGGTTGCAGAACTCAAGTGGGGGAGTTGTGTGGTGGCGGAAGGTGGTGACGGTGGCCTTGAGCTAGAGTTCGGAGGCCGCCATGAGGAGGAGGATATGAAGGAAGAAGAGGCTGTGGTTGTGCTGAATGAGCTGTGGGCTTGGCTGGTCCCACTGGTAGTCACTGTCATTGATGGGGCTGTGTGGGTGGACCCTGTGGCCTTGACCGTTGTCGGTGGAGAAATGGTGCCTGTTGGCATTGTAGGGATGGAGGAGAAAGTGGACATCGCTGGGAGGATAGGGGTGATGACTATGGGAGTAGTTGGAGTCACCAAGGAGGTGGAGAAAGGTGGAATGTGAGTGGGAAGTGTGGTCTGAGGGTGTGATGGGGTTGGATAGGTAGTGGTGATCTTGAAGGATGTTGCAGTCGTAGGACCTGTGGAAGAGACGG